GAAGCGCAAAGTCTCCAGAGAAACATTACATCCCGTGAGTCTTTGATTAGAGTATCCATATAGACTATCGGTGAAATGTGGGAATTGTTTCTTTAGGTAGATGAACGAGATGTAGTTGAATATTATGAAAAGAATGTGTTCTGGACGGTTGACTTTCGCTCCGACTTTGCAAGAGTTGCTAGAATACTCACTGGAAACGCTATAGGTTTAGCTTTAGGAGGTGGTGGTGCAAGGTAAGTTTTCTCCTAAAGAAATGTTAGCTATGCTTCCAAGCAATTGATTTCAAATTGTACACAGAGGTGCAGCTCATGTAGGAGTCTTACGAGCCCTAAGGGAAAGGGGCATTCCTGTGGACATTATTGGTGGTACATCAATTGGCGCTCTCGTGGGAGGAGTTTACGCAGGTACACCCGACGAGAGAGTCGAAGAACGTGCGAGTGTTTGGTTTGGGGTATGTTTCAATGCATCCTGATTTTGTTTTTTTCTTCTTTTTGTATTGACGACCGCAATCTCTTTCAAAGTTTGGTCTCAATACTTTTTTTGATTTGCAGACGATGACGAGCCTTTGGCGCAAAATTTTGGATTTAACATATGCGCATTCGGCCATGTTTACGGGTGCTCAGCTAAACAAGTGTTTGCGAGATCTTTTTGGTGAACAAGACATAGAAAATCTTTGGATGCCATACTTCTGCATCAGCACAGATATTACGTAAGTTCTCTCAAACTCAGGTGTTTGTAACCTTCATGATTCATTTAATTGCTTTTGTTTATTTTTCTTCTTTTCAACTTCCTTTTCTGCAATGAAGTTGCGTAAACCGTGCAATTTAAGAACTTCTGAGATGCGAGTGCACCGTAGTGGACCACTGTGGGCATACTGTAGAGCGTCAATGTCACTCGCAGGCTATCTTCCACCGATGTGTGATCCCCAGGATGGTCATCTGCTTTTGGATGGCGGATATGTCAACAATCTTCCTGCCGATGTGATGAAGTAATTATGATTCTAGGGAAATCATGATTTAATTAGCTAAGAACCCTATTACAGATCGATGGGTGCAAAATGCGTAATTGCGGTAGATGTCGGTTCTTCTGAAGAAACGAATCTGTACAACTATGGTGATTGTCTCAGTGGATTATGGGTCCTTTGGCAGCGTTTAAATCCATGGGCTGAACCTGTGAGAATCTTGAATATGGAGGAAATACAGGTGAGCAATGCTCTTGCAGGTGCCATGAGGGTTCTTTTTTTTTGCTTTCCATTAAAGCTTGTTTCCAGACTCGGTTGGCATATGTATCATGCGTTCGACAGTTGGAACTTGTAAAGAAAGCACCATACTGTAGCTACTTCCGACCAGCTATTGATCCATTTAAAACGCTGGAGTTCAACAAGTTTGGGGAGATTTTGGTAAGCATATCTCTTCTTTTCCTTGAAGATGTTCTGAAGCTTAATTCAGGAAATTGGTCATGAATACGCTAAAGGAAAGATTGAGGAACTCATGGAATCTCCAACATTTAGCAACTTGTTAATGGGTGATGCTCAACAAACTCGATTTCATCGTCAGCTTAGCAGAACCAATAAGGTCGCTTTTTCGTCTTGCTGCTTTTTTGCGTAAACCTTCTGGGTTTGTTCTATGTAAATAAGACGTTTTTAGCGTCCTAATCTGGAACGTTCAACGTCATTTACGGATCTGGCAGCTGCACTATCGAAAATTCCTAGCGTTCGGCCAGTGTTACGACATTCGTTGAGCGCATACGACCCGACAGATGAAGTCTTTGAAGATATCGATTTTTGGGATCGTAGGTTTTTCCTACTTATTTGTGTTTCTGCATCATCTTTCTGTAATGGTGGATGATGTGATGTTTTATGAAATTAGTACTTTTCCGTTTATTATACTTAGAAAAGGAACTTTTTATTTTAAGTAGCTTCAGAGTCGGATGCCGATAACGAATTGTCACAATCG